GTCAGTAAAATAAAAGAGAGAAAAAATCTTTAGTACTCTTGAAAATATTCCTGTACGATGCGACCGCCAGCTATGAATTTTTCGCCAAAATGGAAACCCCCATCTTGGAACAAGTTTTCAGAGCCCAAACAATAGACTAGCTCTCTCTACCCTAATATCTCCTCTAAGTGCTATAATGGTCAACATTTTGAGTCATAGAACTGGTTTCCCACCTGTGTGTCTAACATGTGTTGGTCTAACTCTGGAGACAGGGTTTTTTTTTTTTTTTATACCGAGGATGCATACCGATTTATTTTTTGCGTCCCAATTTTTCGATTTTATTAAAATGTTTCGATATCAAAGATTAAAAAGTCGGGAAATTTATAAACTTTCTTCAAAAATTTACGCGTCCCGCGGGACGCGTAGCGATCATTTTTTTGCGTCCGATTTCAATTTTTTGCGTATTTTACGCGCTATAGCGCGTAAATGTCTTCCATGCATTGAATTGTTAATTTCAATTGCTTTTAACTAAAATAATAAAATAATTTAAATTTATTAAAAATTATTTGCCACAGCATTTTGCATTAAATGTGGGAACAACTCAAAGCATACTTTTTATAAAATTACTCAAGAACACTGAAAAATCTTAAAAGCACAAATCAAGTAAAATAAATAATAAACCTTAAATTGGCCATGACTTTGTATAAGTAGGGATTGGTCATTCAAGCACTAACTTCACATTTTAGGAATTACAAATAAATCTTGAAAAGATATTGTGACAGCAATTTTGGTTATACACACACAATTGAACCAGTTTATCTCGAAAACCTCTGTATCTCAAAATTTCTAAAATTCTCTACATTTACAGTCTAAAATCAATGTATTTTCCATGTTTATGTCGATTTCCCCCCCCCCATCAAAAATCTCTGTTTCTCGAATTTCTAATAATAGAGCATAAATGTCAAAACTTTCTTTATCAGTAGAACTTGCAGACAGAGATGAATTTCGTGAACCCACAGGAAGTAGGGACGAACAGGTTGGGGGTGCTTCTTGTAATTTTAATCACTATCCCAGCACTTCATTAAGTAGAAAGGAATATAATGATTCTGGCAGTAAGTGGGGGTTCATGAGTAGTGACCACCAGGGGTTAGCTTTTCAACATAGATAAGAAAGCTAAGAATAGAAATTCATTTTCACCTCAAAATTGCAACCAATGGATCAAAGGATAATTAGGAGTTTTAAAGTGAACTATATAAAACAGTTGGTACACAAACTTGTAGATGCCATCTATCACATTTACACTTTTGTGTAATGTAACAATTTACTCTTTTAATTATATCTAATCTTCAATTTTCTTAAACCTTTATTTCCTTTTTTTAATATAGCAGTTTATATTTATTTTAACTTTCTGTTTGACCTTCCTCAATGGTCAACGCGGTCATTGCACTTCCTGTGGGGAGAGATACCCCTCTATTCCCACCTTTCTTTTTTCTTCATTTATTTTTCAAACACTTTTCTCTTTAATTTTAATTGGCTAACGCTTTTCTGGGTCTACCCAAGTTAAAGAATTTTTTCAAGATGCTTTAACACACTTTTACATTCTCTCACGAGCCTTTTTGCTTGATACACCAAGGAGTGTGCCCTCTGCCGCTTTCTCCGAGATGCGGACTGAGGTCCCTATCGAGGGGATTTTATCTTTTTTACATCCTTTTTTAAATTTAAATCCATAACTGTAATCAATTACTGTAAATTAAATATCCACATTTATACCTTTAATTTTCTTTAAATTGAAGACCCTCTCACATTTATGCTTTCTTTCTATATTTATATTTTTTTCAACAATTAAATTTCTCGTTCTCTTATGTTTTATTTTTATGCATGATGCCTTTTCTTTTTTAATTCTCTTGTCATCCATTTCTATTAAAGGTCTCTCTTGCACTACTAAATGCAGCAAAAGATATGTTTTGCTAAATAAATTGCTAGTTTATTCATAATTAAAAGTTGTGAATTCAAAGAAATGTGTGATTTTATTTGTCTCTCTTTTCATGATGTTTTTTATTTCTCCAGTATGTGGTGAGTACTTTTTATTATTGTTATGGGTATTTGTTTTATTCCTCTCTGGAAACATCTTTAAATTGCATTAAATGATATATTTGGATATAGAATGTCATTGTTTTATTCATCTTCTATTTATGATTTTGATTAATTCTTAGTTTATTCCAAATTTGGTGATAGCAATTTGTTTAAACCTCACACTTTGTGAACCTATTGGGTTATCCCACGATGGACTACCACTTTTCCTTAACGATCCCCTTAATTTAGTTACTTGTTATCCTATTTTCGGCCTT